ATTAGAGATATGTTAAATATCAGATATCACCATATACATGTAGTCTCCATGTACAAGTTAACAAAGCTCATATTCACTGGACTTTAAAATTAAAATCCTTTAATGCTTCAGTTTGAGTACATATTAAATTTTAAGCACTGGAAATAATCCAAACATGTAGGACCAAGTTTTTTCAAGAACTGCAAAAACTTTGCTTCTTCCTTGAACTGAGCAACTGTCACACTCTCACACAACTATTTCTCCCAGGTTCTTCTTTTGGCAGGTCTATTTCTTGCTTTGTATGACATTTTCTTTAAATGATATAAACCAGAAGTACATCCTCTGAGAGGTTCCGAAATATCTTTCTGATAGACACTGAAAAAGTCCCCTCAGATCAAACTGAAGTTGAATAAGTAGAAGAGGGAGGGATGAAGGAGCGTGAATGTAGAAATCATGGGATTTGAACTTTTCAGACCCACTGTGTCTCACATCACAAATAAATACAAATAAATAACATTCCCTCTCCAAGGGTAGATGCTCCTTCTCCTGTGGTGACAGCATTTTACTCTTCCCAGAGGAAGTGAGGTAAAATCAGCAGATTAAAATACAGGAATGACAGCACATCTGAAATGTGGTCATTCCTCAGTTCTCGTCCACTTCATCTCACTGCCTCATACCAGTGTTGTGCTCTGGTCCTTTGCAAGCTCTTCATCAGACTCCCCACTGATAAAACAGGGACTCATAATATTCAGCATATCCAGTTCGCAGTAGTTCTGGAAAGATGTTTGAGCGTACTTTTGAATTAAGAGTTGAATGTGTAAGTTAGACCATATTCGTGGTGATATTTGGTAATACAAAATCAGCATGATGCCTCCATCCTGACAAAAGCAGAACATGTTTCATACAGGAGAATCTTTATTAAGCTGAACTTTACACTGCTCTTTGCACTGTACCTTTTCTTCAAGTGCTGCCATTCTCTCTTTTAAGTGTAGCTGCAAACGCTCGTTGGATTCTGTCAAAAGTCTGTCTACGGTATCCGATAGTCTTTTGTTGTGCTCCTCATTCATTTTTTCTCTTTGCCTTGCCTTTAATGTAGAATAGAAGAGACAGATTGGTAGAGTCCAAAATTAACCAGTACAGACTTGTATAATTAGAAAATAAAAATTTATGGTAGCTGTAGCCATTTAAAGAAATTCCACAGGAAATGTAATTACAGTTACTGATTAATGCACATTCATTTTTGTATCAGCAGAATACTTTGAACACTGCAACTAGACACAAACTAGTATATTAAGATGGTTAAGTAAAGTGGGAAGATGCTGTCATCACTGCTATAAATAAAACATTTACCAGTAGATAGATTTGTGTGCTGGAGTGCATAATGTAGAGCTATACTGACAAATTAAAAGAAGAAAATAGCACAGAAGTTATCTGCAATACACATACTCTTTGAAGTTCCTGATTCTTCTCTTCCAGTTGAGCTTCCAAGTGTCTCATACGTTCCTCAATGTTTCCATGTCTTTCTTCTGCCTGTAAAAAAATAGAAAGACTCTTTCTGTAATTTAAGTGGCTTCATAAGTTTTTATCTCAGTAAAGTTTAAACAAAACATAAAGCAAGCTACTACTAACTGCAAACTTAGTTTTCCAAAAAGAAATTTTATTTAAACAGGCAGCTGAACAGCATTGCTTGAAATGTGTCAGCTACAAAGGCCTGTTACATCCAAGCATCAGCAAAACATTGGAGTTATTTATGAGCAATGAAATCAGCCAAATGTAACATGCAGACTGTGCATGGTTTGAACACAAACCTGCCATCGTAAAATTGTAAGCTCCTGAAGCACTGAACTGCACGATGGTTGATTATCAATAAAAAAAATAAAATAAGTTAAAGAAAATGAAAACAAATCAGATGGATTCTATTTAGCAATAGAAAGTAAAGTCCAGTAGGACTACCTTCCTACGTATGGAGATCATTTCTTGTAGTTTAGCTTCCATAACATATTGATAATCATCAGATGAGGTAGAAGAGGTTGGATCAGACTAACAAGTCAAGGAAAAGGAGAGGGACAAAATTGAAAAATCAGAACTAAAGACACTGACACTGAACAGAACACAGCACAGAATGCTTAAAAGAAAAGTGTGACTGAAAATTTAATACTTTTAACTGACAGATTTTTTTACGTGGAATAAACTACACTGATACTTGGTGAATATGATGCAGTTGACATGGAGAAACTGAAAATAATGGAATGCTAAAAAAGCTATCAACCTACACATGGAGGTTCAAGGTTAGTGATGGCTGGCTGATGACGTATTACTACAGAGTGGATTCAAAGCAATACTGTCTAATCTAATGTTTGTTTGCTTTTTTTTTTAATTATGGCAAACTAAACATCAAAACAGGCCTCTGCAAGGCCAATGTCAGAAAGTCCTTCATAATTCTGCTATTAATATCTAGGAATGAAAACAATGCATAAATACTAAATTAATGGATCGGTCAGTAATAGAACTATGCAATGTTATGGTACATTCCCTAATTTCTAGAAAACAGAAAGAATGTCAAAAGAGACAAGGCTCAAGCTTTAGTATTCCATTTTAGAATACGCTACCTAAGCCCTTTCATCCAAATAAACAATATAGTTTTCATCCCTTTGAAAGGATCCACCCCGGTGGATCTCTTTGGAAGATCAAGGTCATCAGAAAAAAAGAAGAACCTACAAATAAAAATTCATTAATAGGAACAAAAAGTCATTACTGAGTATAAAAATGGTAATCGAACCAAAGATTCATTACTATTTCTGACAGAAGTTGACCTTAATTAGGTCATTTGTTGCAAAACATGAATATTCATGTTATTGTCATATCAAACAAGTCTATGTTATCACTCAAAATGAAAAAAAAAAGCCCTTAAAGAAAGGGAAATGCTATATTGGATTTGTTGCTATGGAAACAGGAAGGTGCATAAGGCGTATAAACAATGCTACTGATGACTGAGTTGTGAGCTCGTGCTTGTCAAATGCTATTTCAACTCTGTCAGATTTACCCTCTCTCAGAAAGATATCCTGAACTCCATCTTAAGATCAAACTTTAACATTTACAAGAAATACTAATTTTACAATTGCATTTTTTTTAGTGAGACTGTGTTTCATACTGTTGTCTGTTAATGATTTATCAGAATAATTAGGAATAGATATCAAAGTAATTCCAGATGTACATTATAGCTTAAAATTACCCATAACTTAAACTCAGTAGTATTATCAGGACCAAAAGATCAAAGAGAAAACAAGCCTGTGATCCAGAGATTTAGAAATATAAACTGCAGCTTTTGATATGAAGACATTCATATGAGAAAAATCCAGCTTTGTATAAATACAAGAATAATACTTAACTTTGAAGATCACTACTATTCTTTCCAGACAAAGCAAATTCACAAAACTCAGATTCTTGAAAAATTTAAGGGAAAGTCAGTAGACTTGGTAACTAGGCTCATTTAATAAGTGCAGTTATTGTTTCTGATCATGAAGCAGGCGTGTTGTGATGTATTTGAACTTATTCGTTGTCTGAAACTATTTTGTCTATTTATTATGACTTGGACCAGCGACAAGCCCTTTATGATCTTCTTTACCTTATCTTTTAGTTTTATGTATTAATTTGTTTCAGCACACAAGTGCTAACACACTGCTTCCTCTCGTATTGGATAAATAGAAAGAGTTGAAAAAGTTAAGTCCTTATGATTGCAGAAAACCAGATCGTGCTATTCCTTCCACGAAGTGACCAAGCTTTATCCTCTGTAGAAGACAGACTCTTCCCCTTTTTAAGTCCTGGCTGCACTATTGGTTCAAAGCCTTCCTTTAATGTGTCTCCAAGGATCAGGAACTGATCTGAAGTCAAAGCTCTGAGCTGATGATGGAGAAGGCTTAAGTAATTCTTTTGAAACCATTTTCATTGAGGGAGATATAGAACCCATTGGGAGTATCATATTACAAAATTAAACTATTTGGAAGCTTCATTAGCTGACTGCAAATTTTAAATGCAAGTTACTTAATCTTCACTGCTTCTATACACTTAATTGCAGGTTAACACAAAATATGAAGATAATCAAACTAATACTTCTAGGTTCAAAGGAGATCTCATTTAAGTCTTCTGAAATGCAGTGCTGTCTGTCATAACCCGTCCTTGAGAAGGTGGTCTAGCTAGCTATATCATTTACATTTATTTTCCAAACTAAAAAACCAGATTTTCAGTCCAAACCAGTCTAAACCTTATCCCTGAGCAGGAAATAGTCTTTTCAATGCATAAAATAACTGTGGTATTAGGTCTAACTATTATTTGGAAGAGAATGAAGAATAAAATTATTACCAGAATTACGTATGTTGTCTGAATTCTTACATAGAAAACATTCTTGAAAGAACATGATGTTCTTTTAAGATTCTTATAGCTATCTAATTCTCTTATTTCATAACTTCCAACTGCTTTAATAATTAAGGTATAGGTTTAAGAGATATAAATCTTTTTGCATGATAGTTTTCAGTTATTTCACTAAGAATATTAAAATCTTGGTAAGTACATCCTTGTTAAAAAGTCTTCCTGAACGTCACTCAGGGTACTTGCACTTCATTTTCCAGCACAAAAGAAAACAGAGCTGATCTCCACATTCATCTCCCTTTACAAGTCTTTAGTAGGATAAAGATACTTTAAAATTAATTACAATTCAATATGCCTTAGAACCAAATTAAAGGTCATTATTCTAAACACTTAAAGTGTATTTGAATAGTTGATGTTTCCTTTATCTCTGTGCATTTCATTTGTTTGTTCCTAAAGTGTTAATCTGTATTACTCTAGAAGAACCACATTATTTTATAACTGAAACATTAAACAATTAGGCTCAAGTGCTTGTCTGGCAGAGAACAAGCACAGGTGTGCAGCCTTAGTACCTACCCTGGGTTCTAATGCTCTTTAGGGATTTTAACCACAGGTTACTCTGTGCCAAATGCATGAGCAAGCCCTGCAGCAGGGACATGAATCAAAAGGGTCTGCTCTGTAGGGGCTAGGGAGACAGAAACACACATACACGCTCTCTTTCTCTCTCACTTGTCTTGTAGACAAAGAGATGCAGCAGGAAAGAGCAGCCCCTCCATCTCCTGGTATGTCTAGCTGGAACATATGCCCGAAATGAGGGTTTCAACACCTCTCATTGACCCGTATGCTGAGGAAGGCCCTAACTGAGGTCTCAAAGAGACAAAAAGACCTAGCAATTCAGCTGTTCCCTAAGGGATTTGCAAACGCCTCCTGCACAGACTTCCCCAGGCCATACTGTTAGGATTGACGTGCCTGTGGCAACTACACTTTGTTGTTGTCCGTGTCTGTTAGTCAGCCCCAGACATTCCCATGGGAATAGGCTCTTTGAGAGACTTGGGAGCCTACCACAAAAATATTGAACGTCTCCATCTCTGCCTTGTGGTTTGAGGCACAAGGCAGAGGATGAGACACCAGCGTTAGTCATGTTCCCGTAGCAGAATTTCGGATACACGAGTCAGAAGGGACAACTGTGGACTCTGAGGTTCATAAGCAGAAGTCAGATTTCTTCCAACTTGCTCTGCTAAGAATTAATTGAGTTAAAAACTTTCTACAGTAGAACTTGTGTGATTACTTGCTTGGCAGACCTTACCCTAGTCTTCCTTTTAATATATGACTTGCATGACTGTTCGTTAGTACTCTGTACGGAAGGATTAGTAAGACACATGATGCAGTATTCAGCAACTAGCATCTAAAGCATTTAGCCAGCACATTCAGTTATAAATAGATTTGTGTGCATCTCAGACTTGATTAAAAATATATGAACAAAAACTAACAATGTCTGACTCCTATGAGATGTCAGCATGAGTCTTCATGCTCACTTTGCACTCTATATGTTATGAAATAGCAAAGAAATAGCCAGTACAAGCCAGTAATAGGAAATTTTTGCTTTGAAGGAATACTGAAGCAGCTTGTACTATTGCTCTCTAACCCTGATAAAACTCTGCTGCTGCTCCTGCTGCTAATGTGCCCACAAATAAAAAAGTTGCTTTCACATCATCTGTTACTGTTGGCACTGCATATTTTGTAGGTCTGTGCATCTTATTTGAAAAAAAAAAAAACCAACACAATTTCAGATGCAGAAAGCACCTGTACAGTACAGGTGCTATAATTTTTCTTCCTCATGCCCAGCTGCAGGAACAAATCTAAACTTTTCTAATGGTACAAGCCAATTTCCACAGTTTTCAGACCTTTACTTTTGAACACCTGCAGTCTCCAGATTTTCTGCTGGCTTCTTATGGCACACCTTCTTTTGGCTATTCTTTGAATGAGTGAGTTATATCAAGTTACGAAATGTATTGGCTTAAGTCACCCCTTTTTCTGAAATCCAACCTTTCAGCCACTAGATAGCCACACATTCTTGCCTCTCCTTCATTTCCCCACTACCTTCTACACCTTGTAGGTTTACTAAACAACTCCTTCCATTTAGCTCTGTTAAACTTGCTTCTTTCATTTCTTCCTCCTATCAGGACAAAATCTGTGGAAAGGGAAGCACAAGAAAAGGGGTGGTTTGAGAAGACAGTAATGTGTTGTAAATGTAGAGTTTTTTTAGGCTTCCCTCCCCACAGAAGATTGTATATATTTTTTTTCCCCTCCAGAAGAGGATTTATCAGTTTTCTTCTCCAGCTAACACATCATCTCTCTTGTCCTTGTTCTCAGAGACGTCTCTATCTTAACCACAACCACTTCTTGCAGGAGAACTTCTTTCCCCGCTTTGCATCCTTTCCACTGCAGACCTTCTCCTTTCGCTTTCTTGCAACTTCTTCTGTACTTAATGCAAACCAGACTCCCACATTGTCACAAAACAAGCATTGCGTCCCACTTGCTTCCAACTTTCATGTCATTTTTACTACCTTTAAAATTAGCTGAAGATGTTACTATTCTAAATGTGGTTTATTATGATTATGGTTTTCTCTTCTCCGTATCAGTGCTTCTCTAATGCAGCTAAAAAGCACTGTTGGTATTTCTGGTGACCTGCATACAAGAATGATGGAGTAAAATGCTGACTCGTCTTGTGACCAGGGAAGCGACATGGTACCTCTGCTGCACAAGCACCCAAGGGGGAGAGTGACTACTAGTAGGAGTGAGTGAATGGAAGTAGGTGGATGCTGGTTGTCTCTACTAGACCCCTCCTTCCATACATGCAAAGAGAAACCGTGTTTGACAGACTAACCATCTGAAGATTCTGGATGCTCCAATGTCTGTCCCTTCTGAGGAAAATAAACATCGTACAGGATAAAGAAAGGTTTAGTTAATATTGGAGCGAGGTTCTTTCTACTACCAACTGCCTCTTCTCCAGGGCAGGCAAACAGACCAATACTGTGCGAGTGAGTACAAGGTGGCTCAATGAGTCATGGCAATCCAAATCTTGGGATACATGCTGAGAGCTGTGCTACTTGTCATGACCAGACAGATACCAGTGCGACGGCCAGGCAGGACAGCACAGTACATGGGATCATGCTGTTCCAGGTTAGTCTGCCACAGGCTGACTAACCCTCCAGTTGCTCACCCAATGGGCAGAACACAGTGAAAACAAAGCCAAAGAAAAGTTCAAATGATTCAAGTAAATTTATGGGTACTTATCTGAGTTCACTGTATAGTCCAAACTTTTGGAAGTTCACTCCTTATGAACTAGTTTGGGCATGGAAAAGTAGCAAAAGACATTCACTAGCCCATATATATTAAAAAAGAAAAACAACTAGTTTTAAAAACTGACACCACAGAAGGATCTCATTCTATATCCTTTTGCAGAAGCCCAACCCAGATTTATTATGAGGAAGATAAATTGAACGCAGAATTGTAACATGCATATTTCAAACTTGGGGGGGTGGCGGGGGGGAATCATATCCAAATCCAGAACAGGTTTGATCTGTTTTGTCTCCACATGTAGATAATTGGTCTTATATTTTACCCACAGTGAAGCAGTCATGGTTTCCAGTTATCCCATACTACTTTCCTCTAAAAAACATGTAAAGCATATTAGGCTTAACTCCTCTTTCGTATGATTGTAACCCCATTAATATCACAGAAGCCACTTTCACTGAGGTAGTACAAAAGAAAGGAGAATAGTTTTGACTTTTTTTGCAGTGCAGAAAGACTAGCTGATTCAGAGGGCTCATCTTTTACTTAGTATACATGGACACTGCAGTAATCATACCTCAGGTAGAGGGACTTAAGGTAGTCTGAAGCCAGCTAATTTCAGCCCTACTGGCAATGTGTATGCTGGCACAAAGCTCAACAAAGGCAAAAGTAATTAAGCATTATTCAGCCCCTTAGGTAGGTCTTGCAGCTTTCATTGAATAGCTAGTGTGGTAACAGTCTACCAGCTAGCTAATTTAAAACTACTTAAGTAAGCTGCAGTGACTACAGCATCGCCCTTGGTTCTGAGCTACATTTATGTGATCCGTGAAAAGTACTGGACTTCAAGCTTCAGAGTTGTTGCAAAGTCATTGTATACAAGATATATCAAAAACAGGCTCATTTGGCCTATCGGCCAAATTCTAACATTCTTCTTCATGTCATGTATCCCAAGAAGACACAATTTAAAATAAAACAAGTTTCATCCGTTTTTCATGTAATCATAGAGAAATGAACAGAACTGGCATTACAGTCTAATATACTTCTTAGGAGTTTCCCGTTTGGCAAAAATTTTGATACATCAAAGTGAAATGGGGTGAACGTCAGCTCTGTTCACATCTCTCTAACCACATCCCATGAAATAATGTAAGAAGACAAACAGAGATGTATACTGCAGCTTTATGGTCACAATAACAACAGTATCTCATGGAAGCCCCTGAGTGCTCTGCATGGTTGAAATGAGATTTCTTCTTACAATATTTGTCATTAATATACGTTCAAGGAAAAATGCAGTTGCAAAAAAAGACATGCTTGAGACTGCAAAATACTTACTGGTGCCTAATTGCTGAAGAAATTATTCAGGAAAAATCCTCTTAAAATAGAAAACAATATTTTTAAGCTACTGAGGGCATATATAGAATATGTGGTTATTTGTTGAATCAGAAACAACTGAAAAAGAAAGTTAAAGTGCCAAGGCATTGCTCTTATGTGCACCTGAGTTTTTATTAAAATGCAATGATATTTGTTTGGTATTTCATGTAGCTCTCTTTTTGCTGATTTTCCTTTTTTCCACACCATTTCCAATCTCTCTTTCAGATTCCCACCCAGTCATATAAATCTAAAAGTGGACAGCACAAAATCTTGATTACTGAACTTGCCTTAATGAAATAAAAAACCCAACCCAAATCTCCCCAAAGCTTCTCTTTCTTTCTACTACTTAACTAAATTACTTAAAAAAATCAGACTTTATTAATGAGCTGTTCAGCACTTAAGGCTTCACTATAAATGGAAAGCCATGAGAATTGAAAAAAAAAAACACCATCAAATTTAAAAATAGCTACGGACTTAAATAGCTAGAAACATTCCTTGGCAATAGAGAAAGAAAAGCTTAGATAAGTCAGGATGATATGTAGTACAATCTCCTAAATGCATTTTTTTCATTTGTCTGATTTTAAGAGATGAATAAACACATCATCATTATATGTCTCTATGAAGCTGATAACACCTGAGCCATAGTATTAACTACATGCACACTCGAAAGTATTAGAGGACAAATATGAAAACCACTCTACTGAAAATTTATTTTTATCTTCTTATTTTTCTGCAAGAAAGCTGCCATATAATAAATTCATCACAAAACCCAGTCTGAAGTCCTCTCAGGGTTTCACATTTGTCTTTGCAGATATATGATAAAGAATCGTTCAGAACAAACCTTGTAAGTATGTACTGCAAGTTGTCTTCATTTGTATTGTACAAATGATCCCAGCTGCCACTAAGATTTGATTTTTCTAGCACTTATTGGAATGAAAATAATTGTTGTTTCATATACATGGTGTATGAACGTCCAAAATAAGTGTAGGAATGGGAACTCCCCCCCACGCCCCACCTCTCCCCTTAAATTATAAACTCTCACACAGTAAAATGAATCCTCCTAGGAGAGGTAATGCTCACATGTATTGGAAATATATGACTCTTCTGTAAATACAGCTTAGGCTAGTGTACAGAGAACTACTTTTCCGATTACCAAAATGCTAAGAACTACACACATGGCATCGAGACCACTTCTGGTTAAACTTGTGGCACATACTTATCAGAAAACATTTTCTTCTTGCAAGTCAGCTCGATACTACTTTTGTTTTGTCCTTGAGGTGAGGAATTGGGATGCACATCAACGTTAACCAATGGGGCTTCTGAAGTGAACCTATTTCTCAGGGCAGTACCTTAGTCAGAGCTGCAATTCTCTGAGCCAGTTCAGCCTCCACTTCGGGTAAGGTTTCAGCCTTCCTCATCGTCTGCTGCAGCTTCTGCTCAGCCAGCTCGAGACGCTCCTGCAGCTGTCTGTTTTTGTCTTCCAACTGAAGGCCAAAGATAGACAAACAGATATACATTAAAAAAAAAAATCAGAATTAAGAGTTTCCTTCAGTTTCTTAGGTATCAGGGAAGCGACCAAAACTCAGTAGACAGGCATAGATACTCCACAATCTGGGAGAGTTTATTGGAGAGGTATTAACTCAAGCATGGAACAGTGCAGGTCGCCAGCCTTACTAATGATGAGTGATTTGAGGCTCAAGGATCGTACAAAGGTGAAGAAAAGGAGTTGTAAAACGACACTAATGAGGATGTACAAAAAGTTCCTCTGATTGATGTATTGTTTATCTGAGCAAAATAAAAGTAGTGGTGCCAGTAAAATGAGAATTTTCTAAATGAAAATACTCAATCCATCTCACAAAAAAGTTTACATATGAGCTAAAATGGGAAAGAGGTACAGTTCCAAAAGGACAGAATTCCCAGCAAAGTTTCTGAACAAATTACCAAATGCAATTTTCTGAACATACATCGGTTACATATTAGGAAATGTCAAAACTGATGTTTCATTCATGATCATAATCTGGTTGCTATTTGTTTAAGGTTGCAGTGATATTGTTCATTGTGAACCTACAATTAAGTCTCATTTTACAGAGGTGAAATTGATTAATCTGTGACAACCATTAAAGAGAAACAGGAGGACTTTTGATAAGTGCAGTATTTTCTGGCCTACTGAGATGCACCACACGATTAAGAATTTTTTAATGGCTTGATAAGTGTTTCCTGCTTTCCTGTTCATTCTAGGTAATCGAAGACATAATGAAAAAGGAGTGTGCTTTTAGATTCTTTTTTAATCCCTCAAAAGCATGAAAAGGTAGGCTTTTCACATCGCAGCACTGCACATCAACTTTAAGTCTGCCTGTACATATTCTAAGCCTAGTTCTATTGATCACTGCTTTGAGTAGGTAGACCTCTGCAGCACAGCATGACTTACATTGGCAGCAATAAAAACTTGGATACAGGTATCTTACTTTTCCATTGTTGGGTGTTTTGTTGTATGGTTTTTTTTTTTTTTTTCCCCTAACAATTGAAAATACCTCTTAAAATAGTCAAAGGAAGCTGGCAGAAGCCGGAGAGTTTGAGTTCTGATGCTTTGATTTCCCTGAAGAGGTAGTGACGTACATATATACACACACATAGAGAGAGATGTGTGCATGTGTGTAAATATATCTGCATACAATCATAGAAGCAGATATTATCAGATCATACAGGCTTATTTCCCATACAGCATTTTATATTGTTTGAAGACATGATATGTTGAAAAAAATAAAGTCTGATACTGAGGCTGAGGAGTAATTTCATCTTTTACAGTCTGAATGATATTCATTTCATGTTAGTTTTCAGTTCACATTGTATTATTCAAATTAAAAAACAGTGTTTTCTGTTCACTTTACACTTCAGCTTTTGGAATCACCATGGAAACAAAGTACCATGACAGAAAGCTGCACAATCATGTTATACTCTTTTAAAAAACATATTCACAGATAGTTTAGCTTCCTAAAGTTTTATTTACACACTACTAATACATGATATCATTAGAATATATTCTATGCAAATTTTGATCCTTCCTGCAGAAGGGAATTTCTTTTGCTTATACTATTTTTTAAAACTTTTTAAAAATAAAATTCAGAGAATTGTTACATAAGAAGCAAAGATAATCCTTTACTTAGGGGATATGACTGTGCATTTATGCAAGACACTATCAGAAAACACAGTTATTTTGCAATGTTGAATGTACACATTGATGTGGTATTCATGGTTGTAGTAACTGATATGAAGCTTAGAGATGCTGAACAACTTAGGGTTTTTTTTAGATTAAGTGATCTGTTGATTAAAAATGAACAGATTAACCTAATGGAAACCTCCTACTGTAGATCTGCCGCTTTTCTACATTAATTTTCATTGTGTATGAAGAAAGCAAGTGACTAATGCAGATACTGCACCTGACGTAGGATGGCTTCCTTGTTTGCCAGTTCATTTTCCAGCTTATCGTTCATGTCATGTATGGAGGTGGATTCTCTCTGAGCACTGAGGTAGCGCTTCTCCAGCGTAGTTATTCTTTCTTCCATATCTTCCTTTTGTGCCATTGCCTAACGTGACAAAAAACCCACTAAGAACCGTGCAATTAAAATGCTACATAAACGTATACCCATTTAATTTTCATGCTAACAGTAGACAGGGATGTAAGATATGGTTGGCAGTAATTTTTCTGGTTTAAAGACAATTTATTTCTTTTGGGATTTCTTGTAATTATGATTTTTAAAGCAGTAGCTATTGAGTAGAGGAAACGGAAACAATCCTCACCTTTTGTACATTTTTCTAGTTTCTATATTTTTCAATGCAAAAAAACATAGCAAACGCAGTTCACATTTACTTGCTTGCTTCTTAAACAACAGCAAGCTTGAGCAGAAAATAGAAAACCTGATATAATTACATAAGAGTAGAAACATAGTGCAGTAATGTTGGGGAAAAAAAAAAGTATATGTACATTTCTACTTTTATTCCTGGGTCCTGCTAAAATTTTCTGCCAAAGTACATGTAGCAGATAGCCTGTGACATGTCCTGAAATTTCAGGAGAACAAGTGACCACAATGTTGGATACATAACATGACCATAACATATGGGTATGTTATCCAAATATGTTATGGAGGATAAGATTTCTTTAAAATCTTGAGGTGTTTTTATTCAGGTATTACAAGCTGGCCTCACTGAAGACAATATCTGTAATTTAGACAGGTTATTCACTAGTCTGTCTATTACATTGTTTACTTATCTTCAATTAATTTTAGCGAAAGCAGAAAATTTTATTAGTTTTAAACTTGTGTTGTGCTCTTGAGAAGACTTACATGTTGCCATATCATCTTTCATAATGGAAATACTTACTGATGAGCAATGTCTTGCAGTTTATATTATATTACATTATGAAAGTAGTGTTAAAGTAAGTGAGATTATTTTTCAAATAAGTGACAATAAACACATAAATGGATCCAAATAGATAATCCTAAACCGGACCATATACAGGTGATCCTTTTGCATACTGCTGGAAAAAAACAAACTCTTAAAAGTAGTAAGTACGTATTTAATTAATCAAAAACACACAGAAAAAAATAATCCACTAATTTATCCAAGTTACACAATACTAAACGACCTTTCTTGTTGCAGGTATTTAATCTTCTGCATTGGGAAGACTAACTTTTAGGGCAGTATGAAATAATGAAGACAGGCACTTCCACCTTTACGAATACCTTTCACAGTAGGTTTTGCACTGACTTTTGGTAATTATTCTACATGCAAGTGTATTAGTGGCCACTTTGCTTAGGAAGTGAAGGGCTGAAAGCAAGTAATCCTGTAGCTGGTGCAATGTGGTATTTAACAGAGAAACAGCAAGCGGCAATTGAATGTCCATGAGACGGCAATATTTGTGAAAAGGTAAATGTGAGTGGAGATATTAGAGACTCCTAGCAATATAATGAAGCAGTGGTGGAAAAGGAGAAACGTATCAGTGCAAACTATTTTTTCTAACGATACAATACTTAAAAGAGGCAGAGTACAAAGATGTGAAGACACTTTGAGGTTGTGTCAGAAGTTCTGAAAGAACATTTCTTCCAGAATACTAGAAATAACAGGTTAAATATATACATACAAATGCCTATATACATATACACATAAATCTACATCAAATACCTATATGGTAGGAAGGAGAGTAACAGAAAGATTACTCTAATTTCAAAATACCAATATAGATTCTAGGAGCCAACCATGCACACACATTGAGAACATCCATGTACGAGAAGATACTCTGGAGAGTACTAAGGAATACCACAAATTCAAGAGGAGGAAAGGAAAGGAAAACTGAATTATATTTCCATTTATTGAGAGAAGGGAATAGCATATTATAACAGCGGTAATGAGGTTACCACACATGACTAATTATTGTAATTGATTATATAAACACTGTTTTATAAAACAGCCCAGGAGTGTTAAAAATGTACTTTAGACCATCTACATGACTAGCAACTCTCTTTAAATGAGTTCATCTTAAAAACTTGAAATAGCTGAAAACTTGCCAGAATGCACTCTAGTAATGCTAAGCCACAAAGGAATTGGCCATCCTCCTACTAGAGTTGCACATATACACACCCACTTTTATGAACATGGTTTTATAAAGAGATCTCTAGTACTGTTTCTTAATGTAAATTTTGTGTTTCCTATGTACAAGGGCTTTTGTCAGTGCTCAAGTCTTGCTGCCCACATTCATTGGCCTCTCTCAGTTTGTAGCGAGTATCACAGAAACAAGAGTCAAGAAATACGAGGTGAGTGTGGTGAACTCCTTACCTCTCTAATGTCTCTCTGATATTTACTGTTCATTTCCTCTGTTTTAATGAGCTCCTTTCTGGCAGTCTCTGCTTCCTGCTCCACCTCTCCCACCCGGGAAGACAGTGCAGCCAAACGCTCCTTCATTTGTGCCATTTCATAGTTTTGCTTTTCCAGTAGTTCCTGAAGTTCAACAACTTGGCTGGCTTCATCATTTGAGTCTATGGAGCCATTTGATAGGCGCTGTTAATGAAGAAATGACGTTATTAATTATCTTTTAATGTGGGTTCTAGCTAAAGAATTTCTAAAACAAAGATTATTTTAAAAATAACAAAAGCAACCAGGAAGAGAAAAAACCAATAATTTTCATGGTAGATAAGACAAGCATAGTTATGAAAAAAATGAAAAAGATTAGCATTCACTCATATCAAGGGATTCCAGAGTGTAACATCACATAGAGAAGTAAACTTTGCATTAAGACCGGAATACTATACAAAAATAGCTTTGGTTTGACATTATGACTATTCAAGTACACATTGCAAAAATACTACTCCTAAAAAGCACCAAACTGCATGTATATGTCTTAGCTAAACTTACAGAGCATTTAAACTTAAAGTCTTTCATTTGCAAAATAGGCCATGCTGCGGACAGGAAGCAACACTAATAAATCACAAATTCACTGTACCAGAAAGCGCTTAGTCTGGACAGCACACTGGTTAGGTCTACATTAGAAACAAGTTCTGCGGCAGCAATTTGTGTGCTGCTGAAAGCCCTGGTATGAATATAGTTATAAAGAAAAAAAAAATAAAATCAAGAGTCCAGAACTCACATCACCTTTGGAATCTGATCTCAGGAATATGATTTATACTGCAAATAAATGATTTCAGGAAAGAAGTGCATTCACTAGCAAGACTTGCTGGCATTGCCTCATTATAACAGGCAGTCACACTAACCTTTTCCAGCATAGGCTAAGCCATGGTTTCATACAAATTTAATTATCTTATGTCAAAAAAAATAGTCAAAAAGAACAAGAAAAACCAAAATTATTTGATTCCGACCTATAATATGAAAAAAATAAAACCAAAGTAGTCCAACCTGTCATTAATTTTCTTGATTAGGTGCAATTTTATGGGTTAAATTTATATTACGAAGTATGGGAACAAAGTATTTCACTGCAACTGTCATTTTGAATAGGTTATGAATCTTAAAGAGCATCATACAGAAATGTTGGTCGTAAAAGGCACTTGTCCTTCAGATGGCAAGGTGCATAGCAATGTTTATATGAAATATTCCTAGCAAGATCCAAGAGGAAACCAATCTTGCTTCCATTAGCACTTCTGTATTATTATTGTCAAAATATATTTACGCAGAAATCTAGCAAATTCAAAGAACATTACTTTGCTTAATGGCTTTAACAATCCCCAATCAACCATAAAATGAACCCAGATCAAGATCACCTGCACCTCTGTGGATCACTGAATAAAATTATTTCACTCTAAAAATTCATTACATCAAAAAAAAAAACTTAGTTCCAAAATTGCTTTCTTTATACTAGTTAATTATATTATCTTAACTTTTTATGTTAACTGCTAAACCATCATTGTTCTACTTTCAGGACACCATGGTAAAATGACAATAGCAATTTAAAAAACTTATTTACATTCAGTTTGTTGTTTGGAAAGTGTTCAGTTAGTCCACTTGAATCAAAATCCCATTAATATGCAGCAGTCACATATGTAAACAAAATGGTACTCAAACAGGATAAAACATTCTAGCCACCATACCTTATTCCATTGTGTAAATTTGAGATAATTTTTATCTAAGATAACTATAATCTGTTTTACAGTTTTAATCTCATACAGTAATTTTAGCAATTCTCACAGATGAATAAGTTTTACCTTGCATTGAATTTGCCCTACAACTCTCTAAATAGTGGTCCAGGAATTGCTGCAACGTTATAATAAGCCAAATACCAAATCTGAAAAGCAATAAATCGCATGTTGTCCTGGTTTGGCTAAAACAGGGCTATTTTCTCCTTTCAGGTGTTTTTCTTTCAGTTAAACCCCTTCTAAGTAACTGCACTTTCTAATTTCCAACCCATAAGTCTCTCTCCCTTTTCTCCATCCTTTCCCCTCCCCGGGGCGAGGGAGGGGGTTAACAGAGAGCGTCTGCCACCCGTTTTAAGTGCCAGCCCAGCCTTAAATGGTGACAGATGTGATCATGTACCTTACATGAAATGGCAAGCTGTGATACCTAGGTGTATGTTAGCTGGCAAAGAAATATTTTCTTTTCATTAATAAATTTTTTTCCTTAAGATATTAATAACTAAAACGTATATATTAAATGCAAAAGATACTTTTTTCCCTACTAATTTACTTAATATCTGAGATTTCTGGAAAGACAAATAAAGATGTATTTAGAATTAATCTCTCAGCACTAGACAAACACTGTGATTGCCAATTATGCATGTATATATTTTGATTTATGCATATAAACTTCCCTCATAAGTCTTTGATGCAATCTTTGTTCAGGCTGCTTCAGTTCTACTCATTGTTCACTTTTGCTTTACATTATTCCTGTATTCACATTTAGAGCTGGTTGGTATTTAAGATTTCCAACTTATCAAAAATGTCAACATTTTTATCCTAATCATACTAAGATAATTTAAAAGAAGTTTTCTTTAAAAATACAACTAAAAATTAAAAAATCAGCTCAAAATTTGGTAATTTTATAATTTTGAAGCATACTTTAAAAGTTTACCTAGGGATTTTAACTGTCTTTTTGTCAGCTTTATGCCTTGCTATTATTTTATGATATATCCATTATATGGGTACACCACATGGAGTAATCACTCCAAAAGACCACAGGTAGGAAGTTATTAAGCATTAATTCAAGGAGTAACCGACATAAGATTTCTCAGATTCTCAGGAGGGTTTTTACCAACAGTTTTACGGTCATACCTTCCTCCCCCTCCCAAACAAAGAGCTTGAACAAGAATGTGGAAATATGCTATGCCATTAGAAGAAGGCGGCATGCTACAGATGACGCGGACTCAAATGCATTTTCTAAAGTACTGAAAGGAGCAGGAATCCCCCATGTCCCAGAGGAATTCCCTAAGGAATAAGGTGGGAGACAGAACTGCAGCATCTTCTGTATTACTGGTCTTATGAAGAATGTCCATGTCCCTCATCTTTTTTTCTTTCTTTTTTCCTCCAAATTTTATATATTTTTTTTTTAATTTGGTTGATTTTTTTGGTGCTGAAATATTTCCTGGTAGTCAAAGAGTTTCCTATGGATGATTGTGATTACAAACCATTTGTAAAGAAACAATTAGTTGAATGCTTATAATAATGAAATCTAAGTTTTTACTAGATCTCTTAATTATTACCTGAAGCACTAAGGGAAATCTCAGAAAAGCACGCACAAAAACCATTTCAAAGTAGTCATTCTTAACTGTCATATCTCTATACTACCCCAAATCCCCAATATAGGCAGGAAATAGTGTCACATTAGTACAGGGCAGGGGGAATGGAGAAAAGAAAGTACTGAAAGGAAGCTGAAACAATTGGGAAGTCTTTAAAAGAGGGCAGGAACAGTACAGAGATCTTTCTAACGGCTTGAAATAGTCTAGCAGAGGAAACAAAAAATGTACACGGTCCCCAGATCTGGCTTACAAGTTAGTCATCCAGATACAGTCTTCAACAAATTTCATGATGCTGTCTATCAAACGTGGTCGTGAAAAAGTTACATATGGACACACTCCTTAATTTCAGTAATTTCACTTAAAATTGTCTACTAGCAATGGCTATTTTTCCTTGAAAAAAGAAATGTGGTAAATAGTTCATATGCTCCAACGCTTTGCTTTTTTTTTTTTTTTACTAATTCATTTATCCAATAAAAGATTGTCCATCTGTTTCTATCACATTTACTTATTTAGACCACAACGCTGCAGGATTGGTACCATCATATATTCTTGACTTCATCTTTTTTGCTTTCTTCAGACACAACAGGTACACACAGCTGCGGGATGTGCACGCCTGCCATGCGTGCCCGAAGGGCCTCTGTCTTCTCCCCCTGCCCCCTTCCACAGGTTTCTCAGCCAGAAGAAAAATCTGGTTGGCATCAGCCTGAAAGACCTAATGCAACCTCAGATGTCTTTGCTTGGGCTAGTTCAGAGAAAACAAAGGTAAATGAGCAACCACATCTGTACCCAGCAACGTAGCACTTGCTTTCCTCATCTCTGGGAAGAATGAAAGAGCAACACGTGGGTTTTTGAAGGGTTTTTTGTGTGTGGTATATCACCACATACCAGATAAATAACTGAGATATCACAGTCCCTGTTAAGAGTTTCAGAGACACTCTTACTTCATAAAGAAAGCTTTTACATTCACCCAAATATAGCGAAAGGAGACAAAATAATTATCAAGTAAGTCTGATGACAGTGATGGTATTAACTGCAACAGAGGTGGCATATCACAGCGGAAATCAAGGTTCAAAAAATATCCTGTAGGGCCAAGTGCCATAAAGGGTAATATGGATTAAACAAGAAATGTCGGGGTGGGCACAATCTTTGAATTGCTTATGGTCTGTGGAAATGGAGGAGGGAAACAAATGTTCATGTTCCCTACCGCTGAACAGCATGACAAGGAAACCAACATCCCTGATAGCAGATTTTCTCTCTTTCAAGATCCAAAAAGCACAGCAGTAAGGCAATCTGCTGCTCGTACAGGAGTGTCAGCAGGGAGAAGGACAGCAAATTGCAGCATTACACATAACAAGAAATCTCCCCTAGATCTTTGCTTCTCTCCCCCATTCTCTCTGCCCTGAAACCCATTGCAGACTGATTTACTAGTAAAAAGCAAGAACAATGGTAAAAAGAACACCAGGAGAAAGCGTAAAACAAGACTAATCCAGAATACTGTAGCCTCTGTTAATGTATTTCATACTGGCCTTTCCAGTAAGCCTTAGCAATAATAGTGACAGCAACTTGAGTGGACGTACACTTAAGTTAAAAAAAAAAGTAAGGACACCAGACTATGGCACTGAGCAAAGAAATTGTAAAATTGTTCCAGGCTATTGATTGCAAAGTACTTCTTCATTTTCTTTTGTAGAAAGAACCTTACAGTCAACTACATACATGGCCAAATATACACAGGAACCTAATTTTATAAAGGCAAACCCCAAGAACAGTAAAAAGCACCTCCAAGTGCTATTTCCTCTCCAGTTGTAAAACATCTGACACA